GTCCAAATGGAGATATCAGTGGCAGCTGGATATACAGATACAGAATTCCTGACTATGGAATACATTCCCAGAATTATTAACAAACATATAAAATGCACCAATTTATCTTGGGCCAAGACTGGGAATGTTTTTCCAAGAGGATACTCTGCATATAGTTAGGGGCACTTAGTGGAATTAATGGTGAGCCCACCTCAAGCTGCTTCATTAGTAGAAACCTTGACAGGGAGCAAGGCTAGAAGGGACACTGAGTTTATATACTGACTATTCTGGATAAGCTGACTTATGAGAATATGGGAGGTGGCTTTGAAGGACTCCTTGGAACTTGTGAGCCATAACAACAATGGTGAAGCCTTGAGAGAAAGTACAGTTATAAATGGAATTGATCAAGAACAAAACTTTGGTAAAATCTGGCTTAAGGGTGTCTGGAAGGTGCCAAGAGACAGAAAAAGAGAAGTAGAATGGTCAAAAAAAGCAGAAGAGCAGACTAGAGTGGTGACATAAGAGAGTATTTCCAGGATAGTGACCCATGGTATTAATAATATCTTAAAGAAGCTGAAGAGCAAGAGAAATGAAGAAGCAAGCGAAAATAGTCACTGTATCCACCATGGCCTATAGGGTGTGTGGTGGGCTCATGGTATCAGTCTCACTCATGGCATTTTTCTGAGTTTCATAGTGTGCATTGCAAAATCATACTCTAGGTTTCATTCCAACTATCCATGTGCTAACTGTAGTCAACTTTCTGAAGAACTATCTGCCTTTGAACAATTCAAGGGTTTGTTGAGTACCAACATTTGCCTCTCTTTGATTTTCCATCCCTCCTCTGCTCAAAGGCAGTGGTATCCCTCTGATTTCTCCTCAGGACCTTTTTTATCTCGGTAGGTAGTCTTCCAAGTTCTGAAAGAATGTTTTCCAATCACTCTCCTCTGATTAAAACATACCTATCCTGTGCCCTGTAGGCTTGTAAACCAACATTTATTCAGCATCTAAGGTGAATGGATTTGAAGGTAAAGGTCTATGGTTTGTCCTTAGGAGACGTTCACAATAGACGAGTGACACGTTCATAAATAAGTGTCATATAAGGCAGAGTGATGTCCTCTGAGAGCAGAAAAACAGAGGTGATTTAATTCCAAGAACAAAAAATTTATCTGCTAAAAGCCAATCTGATAAACTTATTTGAGCTGATAAACTTATTTGATGGCTGAAAAGTCAATGTGAGGATGACATTTACCTTTAACTAGTCTTTTTAGTTTTAATTTAAGGTACTAAATAAACTGATAATTAGGGCATTATACTGAAGGGAATTTTTGGTTAAGGGCAACTTGTCTAGAATTTCTTTAACAAATCAATTTCTTTGGTGGCCATAGGGCTAGTGTTTTGTTTTGTTTTTAACATAAGGCTAGTCTTTTTTTTTCTTATTTGTGAGTCCATGCTATCCTTAATTTCCTTTCTTTACCATTTCTTCTTGCTTCTGCTGCTTGTGGTTATGAGCTCAGAGTAGATGTTTAAATCAGATGTGCTGTAATCACCTGAATTTGCCTAAATTTCTTATCAACTGCTCTTCTTGTGAATTATTATTTTCTGTTGTTTGTGCCCTTTGTTCTTTGGCCTTTGTAAGGCCAAGATGCCTTAACATTCCCCTCAGCCTGACTAAACTTCAGACAGGCTTTTTCCCGACCCAAGGCCTCTGACCTCCTTTCCTTAGAGCATTTATTTTAGAAAACTTCTCATTGCAAATTCTTTGTCTGCCCCATTGCAAAGTAATCTCCCAGCCTCTTGCCAGTTTTACAGCCCAGGAATATCTTTCTTAAGGACATGGGAGCCAAACCTTTGAAATGCAATCATTGAAGGAGATCTCTGATTCTCTTCTGGAGGGTAGAAGCCTAACTTTCTAATTGGGACAATTAGCAAACACAATTGACCACCTTCCCCACTACTAATCTTCAGGACTCTTGCAATAGCTCACCCCAGTACTTAAAAGCTCTTCCAGGGGGGAGCCTGGGTGGCTCAGTCGTTAAGCATCTGCCTTTGGCTCAGGTCCTGGGATAGAGCCCCGAATTGGCTCCCTGCTCCGCGGGAAGCCTGCTTCTCTCCGTCCCACTCTCCCTGCCTATGTTTCCTCTCGCGCTGTGTCTCTCTCTGTCAAATAAATAAAATCTTAAAATAAATAAATAAATAAAAACTCTTCTAGGGAGTTCAGTTCAATCTCTTTTCTCTTGCAGTAGGTCCTGACTGCATTGCAATGATCTTGAATAAAGTCTTCCCTGCCTTAACTCCTTCATGTGCAATTTTTCTTTGGCATTTGTAATTTCCAAAACAAAGACTCTCCTTGGCACTTTCTTTTGCTGTTTAAAAAAATTATTTCTAGAAAATACTTAGCTGACCGGATTTACAATTTCTTCTTTCCTTTTTAGCTCCCTCACAGATTCCTGGGGGAACTTACTTTCCAAGGTCTGATGTCAGTCTTCCCTGATAACAGTTTCTTTGTCTTTTTTTTTTTTTTTTTTTGGTGTCTTGCTGATAGAGCTACTGGGGTAACCCATATATTTTTCAACTATTTAACTCCTTCTCAAGGAGATCACCTCTCTCTTTTGTATGACAGCCTACCTATCAACATCAATTCTTCCTTTGAAATCAGCCAGTTGTCTTATCTGGCAGAATCCCACTTACTGTGGACATGTCCTACTTAGTGTCAATCTAAATAGGATGCTCACGAAAGCATTGTTAAGGTACGATGTGTTTTCCCATTTTTGGTCAACATCTGAGTCTATTATTTAGCATACCCAAGGAAGAAAGACACACATTTGTGTGGCTTGCTTAACTCTTCCGATCACTAATCAGAAGAACTCATAAAATGATTCAGTAAAGTGCATGACATCCCAGAGAAGTTTCTATGAGAAGATAAAGTTACCATTTGGGAAATGAATGCACAATTTTCCTATGTCTCTCTCATTTGAAAAATTTAGAGCTTTTCTGTTTCTGTGGCTATAAAACTTAGGTCGATCATCCTTTGACATTTGTGACATCCGTATTTGTCTGTGCCAAGGACTTCACCAGGTTTAGAAGGAACTGGGACAGTGTACTTAAATTTGGGTAAGTATTTACAAAATCATGAAATAAGCACACTTTTATAATTCTTGCAGTGTGTTGGCTGAAACATCTCTAATGTAACAGTGATAAATTCAAAGATTTTAATATATTTTTCTTTTTCTGACAAAGCACTGGCCCATGATGTTTGGGGCTCCCGACTTTCAGTCTGAGAATCTATGGTATGGGAGGACACCCATGCTGGCCTGCATTTTGTGGAGACAGGCAGAGGTCATTAGGTTCCTTCCTTGGTTACATTTGTATCAACAAAGGGCACCATTCCAGGTGGCTAGCCATGCCAGAAGTGAAGATACAGGACCAAATGTGGCCGAGGAAATTGGAAGGTCATGGCTGCAACTCTCTCAGGCGCTACAGACGGGTCTCTGAAAGTGGAAAAAGCAAGGAGCATGATTGAGGTTCCTCACATCAATGTCAATTTTCTTTCCTTTTTGTTAGCTCTAACGCTGTCTTGGTGCCTCCAGATTATTGGGAAATGATAAAGAAAAATGTGAATCTTATTATCTGGGGACTTCCTTTATCTGCTCCCAACCCTCCTTCTTGCCAAATCAGTTCCAGTCTTCAGTAGAAACCTAATTTTGTCTACTGCTTTCTCAGAGAGGAAGGCTAACTACTCACTTCTGCTCATCCTTATTCCTTATGCAAGGAAGGAGAGATAAAAAGACAATGAGAGGAGTATATTTTTACATTGAATTTGAGATGTGTGCCCCCCACCACGACAAGTTCTTCTTCTTTATGAATAAGAAACAATGGTTTGTGGGGCACCTGGGTGGCTCAGTCGGTTAAGTGTCAGACTCTTGATTTCAGCTCAGGTCATGATCTCAGGGTCGTGAGACTGAGCCCCAAGTTGGGCTCTGCACTGAGTGTGGAGCCTGCTTAAGTTTCTCTCTCCCTCTCCCTCTGCCCCACCACCCTTGCTGGTGCACGCTCTACTTCTCTCTTTAAAAAAAAAAAAAGAAAGAAACTATGGTCTGTAATGGAGACACTACCAGCCAATTACTTACATGGCAACCAGGCGTTTCCATAAATCAGTAACCTTTATTTAATGGATTCTCCACTGAGGTAAGTATAGTTTTGGTTTGGTCTCCCTCATGTAGCAGGTTACCTCTAAGCTCTATTTTTTTTTTTTTAAGATCTATTTATTTATTTTACAGAGAGAGCATGAGTGTGAGTAGGGGGGAGGGGCAGAGGGAGAAGGAGAGAGAGAGAGAATTTCAAGCTGTCTCCCCATCTAGTGTGGAACCTGACTCCAGGCTCAGTCCTAGGACCCTAAGATCATGACCTGAGCCGAAACCAAGGGTCCGATGCTTAACTGACTGAGCCACACAGCCGCCCCACCTCCAAACTCTTTTTAACTTTATTTTCCTTTTCACTTTTTAGGAACTGGTTTGTGGGACAGACTCTTCCCCTTTCCATAAAGTCCAAATGACAGTGTATAGTTTGGTGATCATGCCTGATTCTTCTTTCCCACAGGAACATATGATGTCATTTTGCAGTTAAAACATTCAATAATTCATTTCACAAACTTTTACCTAGTGCCTATAATATGCCAGACACAGTGATATTGTGGGGACATGAACACAGATTTTAAAATTTAGTGGACCATATTTGCACCAACACTAGTGTTGACTTGATAGTGTCCATGTATATATGTATACATTTGGCTCTGCAAAACTTTTTCTTTCATAGAAAATATACAGTCTAGTAACAAATTGTGATGATTCGCTGACTAATTTCACTCTTACCTAATAGGAAGCAAAACTGCCCAAATGTACATACAAGGGATTTAGGATTTTAAGGAAAAGCACAAATGCCATAAGGATTAAGTGGTTATTTCCAGTGTTTCCATGAGTGTTCAATGGAAACGATAGGGTGTTCCTTAAAAGTTCTATACTTACTCATCTCTGCAAACAGCTGTCTTCTTTCTGCCATGGTATTTCCTCTTTTCCCACTATCTTCAATCATTCTAGGAGACAAAATGGTTACAGTGTTACTACCCTCATGCTAATGAGGCAAAGAGCCATTTCTATGTCAACACACTTGCTGTAGTGATGCCACAGAGACAAACTATTTAAAACTGAGTATTTAAGAAGTGTAGCTTTACTTTCACTAATTTAAATCACCAGACATATTTTTTCCATACACAATGTTGTTGCAATTGTTAGAGGAGGTATAAAATTTTTATTTTCTAACATAAAAATAACTACAATAGCAGATGACCTTGTGCCAAACTGAATTCAACCATCCACCATCTGTTAGGTGGTTCATTTCCTATATAGTTTCTCTTTCAATTTGGGGGGAATACCTATGAAGAATATAGAGCAGATATTACAGATTCCATTCAAGAAATGATGATATTGAGAATCTCATGAGATTTAGTAAAGTGAATGGTGAAAACATTTGGACTCCAAGACCAGTTTGCCTTCCACCATATTCTGCTGCAGGTTGTCCCTGTGCACCCCAAACCCTAGTTTGGATGCAGGTTATTTTCTAAATATTGATCTCTAAGTTGAGTGTTTGGAACCTGCAACAGTTTTTCTATGAATAATTTCATGCAAGGTGGTTAGGTTCACATCTCTCTGCTTAACCATACTACTGTCTGCAGTAATCATTTAAAAAGAGCTATGAAAATGCCAACAGATAAAACAGAGAATCAAAAAATGTTTAAAAAAATTAAAATTTGACTTGAGGAGAAAGAAGAAATGAGAAAGTTAATGGAAATGTTGTTTAGCTCGATAGAGGAATTTGGGGGAAATATTAAGGGTTTTACAGGTTGCTGGAGTTGATTTTTTATTGTATCTAATTAAGCTTTTGAAAAACTTAAGTTTCCTCTCTCATACATGCAAATACATATACACATATACCACCCTGTTCTGATTCTCAGGGGCAATAAACAGAAGGCATAGCTGATCTTTTTGCCTGTCTTTCAATGGACCCTGCTCTTTCTCAAATATGGTTCTCTGTCTGTGCTATTTTTTGGTCCGGATCCCCTGCTCCCTATGCCTGGCTAACTTGCAATAACTTTTCAGCTCTTAGTTTAGGTGGATCTTCCTCTGAAATCCTCCCTAATTCTATAATTGTCTGGGTTTGGTGCCTTTCCTCTGGCCTCCACAGCCCACTATCCCTTTTTCTCAATGCTGAAAATTCACTTAACAAATCTTTATTGAGTGCCTTCTATATGCAGGAACCAAATTAAGTTCTAGGTATACAACAATGATCAAGTCACAGTTCCTACCTCCAAGGTGCTTATACTCTAGTCAGGCAGATAAAAAGCATAGAAGCAATGAAACCACTAGGAAGTAATTATAGCCATAGTAGTGGAAAGATATGTGAGTGTGAGAGACATTGACTACCTGAGGGTAAATTTAACAGAACTGGGTTGCAGAAGACAGGTCAAAAGATAATGGAGCTGTGTACAAAATAACTCACCTAAGGGTAAAAGAAAATATTGATGAAAACCAATGTGATGCCAGTTATTCTGGTCAAAGAGCCTCACCAGTTGTTTCTATGTGTGAAGGATGATTTGCCTACTGACAGGAAGGGAAAGAAGGGCATGGAACAGCTTTGGTTTACAGAGTTTAGGGAAGAGTGTGTTCCCATTCACCATGGGTGATGACGTACCCAGGGTCTGGCCTAAATAATAACCTGAAAAGAATAGGGTTGTTAATGAAGTGTCTTCAATTTGGTAACAATTCAGTGCTGAACACAGTCAAGTACTTTCTTTTTATGATTTTAAATATGCAGGTATGGTTAGTATATAGAGATCACACCCTTCCTGATTCACAGAACCCAGTATCTCCTTTCCTCCAGAGGAAGTGGGTAGATAATAATCTGACATTCACAAAATAGTCTGGATACAGCTTCCAATTTTTATTTCAAGAGCTTAGAAGTAATGTTGAAGCAATAGAGAGACAGAGGATAGAACCAGTGATATGTTCCTGCATCTGTCTGTATGTTGGAATGAGATGAAAAGAACTGCTAAAAATAAATCACAAAGGATGGCAAGCTGGAAAGCTCTGATTGAAAATGTCAGGGAAGGAAAGACTGGCCTCCAAACCCACAGCCCTTACTGCCTGTACCCCTCAATTGGTACCGTTTGTGACATCTCTTTTCTAGTTAACTTTCTGTATGTTTCTCTGTAAGGTTTTTGAGGGCGGTGACTTCAAACATTTTAAATTCTTCACAGTGCCTAGCAAAATCCAATCAGTAAATGATATGTCCAGTTAGTATTTATTGAAAAAAAAATGAATGAAACAAAAAAAAAATAGAGGAAGAACAATAAGAGCTAAGTTTGTTCTCCACAAAATAGACTTTTAATGATATTTCCCAAAACCGATTCACAGAAGAGTTCAATTCAGATTGCACTAGTTTCAGAAATTAATTATTTGAAATGAAGGAGACTAATTTATATCTCTTATAATCTAGGACCATACATTTTAAAGCAAAATCTTGTCTTATGAAACAGAAGCTAAAATAGATGCAAACTACATTGATGTCACCGTTTGGTCTATTCATCATCATTTTGTGATTAATTAACTCATGAAAGAACCATAATTAGTAACATAACAGGAATTAATTCTCACTTCTAAGTAAAATGTGTACCTTATAAGGACAAGAAGGAAAAACTCAGTTGTGTGAAATAATAAAAAGCATGGAATTTAATTATAAATATAAAAGGAAAACAACACATTTCTCATTTCACCACTAAAGTTTCCTGGGAAGCAGCACTATTAGATAAAATTGAGAATACACATTTATTACCCGTTGATCACAGTCATAATAGTAAAAAAGGGAAGGCATGCTAGTTTACTGATTACATGGATTCAACAGAGGGACTGATGGACAGAGTCTGTTCATGAATTGAACAGGCAAGGAAGCACCATCATGGGCTCCTTAGTTTCCAATTTAACTCTGATCAGTGGGACTTGATATACATAATGCTTGACTTTCTTCTTAGCAAGAATGAAGAGCAAAACTTTCAGTAGCGGAAGGTGGGAGGGTTTTTGCAGAGAGAAATTTTGCTTCTGAAATTGTCACGAAGCTCTGCTTTTCATGAATTTCAGTATTACAACAGCTGCCCAAAGTCATATAGAGGAGATGAAGGGGAAAAGAGCCCATCTTTGACAATACTAATGTCACAAGGTGTGTGGCTCACCAACAGGCCTAATTTGGTGAGTTTCAGTTACTCCTTCATGTAGACAAGATGCTTGCAACCTTAGAATTTACCAGATTGCATAAATGTCAAAATAGCAAAAGGAACTAACAGGTGATGAATAAGTGATGAGCCCCATTAAGTCATTTCCTTTACTAGGGTTCAGTCCCATGAATTATACAGGGTGTGCATTGTTTTCACTTATGAGAATCTACCCATTTCATTTACTTAAGAAATATTTATAAGGTAGCTATAATTTGTCAGATACTCTGCTAGTTTCTCAAGATCCAAAGATGAATAAGACATGATCCTTGCTTTTAAGAAGCTCACAGTTTAGAAGGAGAGACAAATTATTCCAAATGAGAATTGTATTTGGTGTAATATGTACAATAATAAAAATACATACTAAATATAGTAATTTACTTCTGGGAAATCTGAGGGAGGCATCGAAGGGTGACTCCGAAACAGAGTTTATAGGACAAACAAGAATTTTCCAGATGGAAATGAATGGAGGAAACGGTAATCAGAGTTAGAGGTAATCATGGAAAAATCATGGAGCTTTAACAAGAATATATGGGAACTGGGAATAATTCAGTATTGCTGAGTGCAAGTGTGAGTACAGATGCCAGAACAGGCATCAGATCTAGAAGGTCTATTCTCACATCTGGACAGTGTAGGGCTTTCCAGAAGATCAGATGCTACTGTGGTTAAGTAGGAAACTGATGTGTACAGATTTAGGTTTTGGCAAAGAGATTCCAGCATACTGAGTGGAGGAAAGATCAGGCAGGTAGGAGGGTAGGGGTGTGAGCACATGATTAAGGGAAGAGTTCAGTTTGCTGGAAACTTCTGTGATTCAGGAGCAAGAATATTATGTCTTACGCTAAAGGATTGATTTGAGATTCAGGGTGCATGCAATGGGACTTGGTGATTTGTGGTCTCCATGAAGAATGGTGGAGCAGGGCAACTCAGTCTTTGCTCTCCCACACCATGTCACACACTGGAGAAAGCAATCTGCTGCAGTAATGACTTCATAGAAAGTGAGCTCATCAAGTCACCTTCTTCCAGCATCGTCATGAAAAGGGGGCCACAAAATTGGATAGGGAGGGCTCCCGCTCTCTGCTGCTATTTGTGGGGGACAGACGAAAAAACAGAGTAGAACAGTGAGGGAACCAGCAAGAAATGGAGAATAAATCAAAATACAGGGCACAGAGTGTTAGAAGAAATGTGAATTGTATTTTGGCATAGTGAGAATAAGTTCACATTGAAATATCACATTCTTGAGTTACTTCCTTCATGACACTTCTTTAATCCAACATCACCCATACTAAACACACATTTCTATGCCACATGACATAAGAGTTTTAAACATAAAATCTTAAACTGATGGTGTCTTACATTTGTATAACTTTCTGAAGATTATAAAATGCTTCTCCTGTATAACCTTGTGAAGAATTTGGGGAGATATTATTATTCCCCAGTTACAGCTGAAGAACTTGAGACTCAGGCAGGTAAAAAAATATTTCCCAAAAAAAACATTTTCTGGAAGGGGAAGACATTTAATCCATTTTTTTTGGCTTTTAATTTTTAAATTCCTAGGCTGGGATGAATTCTAATCGCCAGTAATCTTACTCCAGCTGCCACTGTTCAATACAAATTAAGATTTCCTGAAACTAGTAAGTGAAAAGAAGTTGCTAGAGCTTGGTGATTGACAGGCCAAAAGGAGGCGAAGGGGAAGGGTCCACAGCTCTCTCAAACTGCAGGAGAGATTCCTTCGTGTGCTTCTCCCTAACGGAATCCTCCTATACTAAAACAGA